GGGGGGGGGGGGGGGGGGCTGGTTCTTTGAGTTCTTGGATGGGGAGGGGCTGCGCTCGTATCATGGCACGCAGAAGGCTCTCGTTGAGATTATTGGCTTGACTCGAGGAGGAGGAGGAGGAGAAAGGGAGGCCTTCACCGTGTGCTAATTGTGTCTTTGAGGAAAAAACAAGACTACACACCTACAAATGCAAGCAAAAGGGGCTATTTTCGCACACCTATTTGCGTATGGGGCCGGGCAGTGCGAATCGTCGGGTTTTCCGTAGATCAGGGTGTACATGGTCCCTCCACGCACCCCAGAGGTGCAAGCTACAAATCCTCTCACCCAGAAAAGCAACAGAAACAGCAGTGCACATAGTGTGAGAATGTACGCTCTGTCGTGGGCATTCTTGTCCACGCGCATTTACTAAATCAGGGGGGCGTTCTTTGTACCACTTTAGCACACCCAGGGCACGCGCACTGCCAAGGCTGACGTCTTCTGTTCATCTCCATCCGACTACTAGCGCGGTTATTCTCACAAATGGAAACAACACACGCGCTTGCGCGCGCCCACGCACACACACACACACACACACACACACACAGGGGAAACACGTGGGGGAAAGAATACTTCGAGTCCTGGAGCGCGGGAAGCCGGCGCGGAGCGTTCGTGGGAGGGAGGAGTTCTGCACGGTACCGGAGGGCTACGACCTCGACTACATCCTCCGACATCAGAAGATCAAGCGAGAGCGAAAATCGCCGGATAGCCGGTGACACAAAGCCGGCCGGCAGATAGGCCGAGAGGCTAGCTAGCGATGTCCCAGAGCGGAGTCGAATCGCCTCCCCTTTCTCCGCCGGAATACGGGGTGAGGAGGGGGTGGGGGGGGGTGTACTCGCATCCCGCTTTTCCTCGAAAAGCTATCTATCTGCGGCGCTGCGTGGGGAAGAAAGAGGCCGGCTCGGGGACGACGGCGGTGGAGGGAGGGGCGGGATACCTGCGGGCTTGATGTTGTAGTTTGCGTGATAAAAAGTGGGTTTGGGCTTGCTTCTGCCTGAATTCGAGTTGGCTGTTTATGTTCGAGGCTCAGGGCGTGATTTGAGATGCAGATAGTCGGGACTATGGTTTTCTCGTCTTTTTATTGCAGTTGTGCGTCGGTGTACGCGGTACGCACCTGCGGTTGTGCTGATATTTTCGTGTTGTTATTTAGTTCATGTATTCGTTTGGGTAGGGGGCACCTGTTGGCGGGGGATTGACGTGGGGAGGTGGGGTGGGGGGTGTGCTCTTCGTGCACCCGAACGAGAACGCGAGAGATTTTCGCGCGCCCCGCTATTTTTTTTTTCTTCTTTTTTTCGCGAGGGATTAAATTGAGTGTTGTAGTATCTTGCGTGCGTGTCACCTTTGTTGAGAAGCGGAAGTATTTTGCGTTTGATTGTCGTGCCCTTGTTTCTCGCACCACTGCTGCTTCTGCTGCTGCTGCTGCTGCTGCTGCTGCTGCTGCTGCTGTCCTAGCACTGTGCAGGCGCAGACGGACTTTTGCCGGAAACAGGTTTCGGAAGTGTGCAGATGCGTGCGGTGCGTCAAGTAGTGCATGAAACCTGAAGAATCGCGTGTGTCCTTGGTCCACAACCAGCCGGCGCAGCCACGTGTGTTGTTTCTTGTGAGATGCTGCGATCGAATAATTATCAAGCAGCAGCCAGGTGCCCAAAGCTTTGTTTGCCAACGCTACGGTGGTAGTAGTAGTGCTGCATTGCTGCGTTGCCGTCTTATGACGACGCCGCTCTCTTTGGCGGTTTGTTTGAAAATGGTGCTTGTTTGAGGGCACCGGGGTAGAACGCAGAGAGGTTCATGGGAGCCTGGCCAGGAAAATGTCTTTGGTATGCGAGGGAGGGGGGTTCCCGGCGGTGTTTTTCTTTTTCCTGGGAAAGATGCGCTGCTGTTTTCGAACGACCCTTCCGGCAAGACGGAAAAAAGATGTGTACGCACAAGTAACTTGTTCGTGCCACCTGCTGGACACAATAAAATGGTCCCGAAAAGCATGTCTGCTTCCCTTTGAATGCCTGATGGGGGAGGCCAGCCCCCCGTTCAACGCTTGACGTCGAACTTCTCGTGCAACGTGTGTGTTGTGTGTGTGTGTGCATCGTTTGATCGCAATCTGCGCGAGCCAGGCAGTCAGGACCCATAGACCACAAGGGATTGCTTATTATCACACGTCTTTCTATGTAGTAGTTTCGTGGGGAGCACTGTTTCCTGTTGCCCTGTAGGGGCGCAGTCCTGCTCTGACTCTTTCGGGCTATCGTTAAGACAGAGAGAGAGCACGAGATTTTGTCGGTCGTGCCTGCGTGTAGGTCTCTTGTGTTTTGTCTTTGCCACGTGCGATGGCAAGTTACTGCAGTCCGTGCCTCTTGTTTTTCTTTCTTGTCTTTTCGTTTTCCGGGTTGTGATGTTTTTTTTTTCTTCATTCTTCTGGGTTGTGACGTATGCATACGTTCTCGATATATCGTAAGTGCCCTGCCAAGTATCGAAGACGCGACATGGCTGTTCACTCTTGTACAGAAGGTAGCGGTATTACGGCAGGAGTAGGAACCGCGGTGTGGTTGTGTCGGAAATGCGCCGTCAAAGAAAGCCTTGGCGACGACACAGGCGAGATTCCGTCCGAGTGTGTGTCTTTGCGTACGTGACATCGAAGTGTCAAGCAAGTTTCATCAGGAAATGAGCAAGTGGACGGCGTGGTCGCAGAAAGAAGATAATCGCCTCTTTTCTACGTCTTGCACTACAGTGCTTGTACACAAAAAAAATGTTTTGTTCTTGCATCGTTGCCTCCTGTGTCTTGTTTTATTATTTTCATTATTGTGTGCGCATGTGGTTCTCGAACAAACGAGGTGGCGTTGTAAAAGCTACTGGACGTCTTTCAGATAGTTTCGACTTTGTTTATGTTTTGCAAGCTTCTTCTCTGTCAATCTTGGCGTCGTATCGTGCTCCAGACTAACGATCGATAGCCGGGACCAAGCAAGTAGAACTTTACTGGCCCGCATCTGTGCCATCGAACAAGCGAACTTTGCTTCGCTTGCTGCCGGGTGGAAAATCCTAACCGTCTGCATGCTTGCATGTTTGTGTGACAAGCTGTATTATACGCAAGCACCCCATTGGTGATGCCACTGCATTGGCACCCACCTTTCTTGCAAATCAGGTTGTTCAACCTTGACATTCGAAATCAGTATCACCTACATCATTCGTTTCGGGGCAAATATGTTGTGGTCCGATGAAAATCCTCGAAAATGCGATGCTCCCCCGCCTCTTCCCCCTGCTCCGCACAAGACCTTGCTCCACCCCTCCGGTTTGTGCAAACATCGCACCACACCAAGCATAGACGGTAGGCCACGATGAACGGCGGAGAGTGTGGAACATCAGGCCGTCGACATTAACCGCAAGGCGCTGTTCGCCTGATCCCGAAGCCGTTGGTCCGTTGCCCCAAACCTGTCCAAGACGGGTGGTGGGAACACAAAAACGAAAAATCAAATGAACCGACGCACACACAGGAGCTTCTGGATTTATGAAAGACCCATATTACCTTCGTCCTCGCGATACGGCTCTGGAAAAATAGAGGCAAACTTTGTGACACAAACAAGGCACGGGAACTAGCACGTGTGTACGTGGCGCACTTTTCGATAGTGGCCCCGATCAGTCCGGGAACTCCCGACGACTTCATCACTCGGGCGGGGGCGCGCCCCGCCGCCGCTATCTCGCGCACGCACGCGATGCCCGAGTACTGCGCGCCTCTGTCGCACGCGACGCGGTCGCTGTTGGCGAGGACGGTGTGTATCCAGTGAGGAAGTCCAAGGCCACTAGCGGTTCTGTCGTTGCAGCCGTTGTCGCCGCTTTGGACCCACGACGCCCCCCGGCTCCCTTCCCTCTCTCCTTTTCGTTCTCCGCTTGTTCGTGAGTTTCTTTCTTCTCCAAGATGCTTATATTCTCCTTGTTGGAGAATTCCATCTTCCTCCCCGCATTCTTCTTGATGGGGTTTCCGGTCCCCTGCTGGCCGTTCCTCCTCCTCCGACATCGCCGTTGCCCCCTCCCCCCACCCTCGCCCCACACCAAGCAACCTCCGGCGGTTCGCACGACACCCGAGCAGGTTGGCGAGGCACCCCAGTGCCCACGACTGGGTGCGCGGGCAAGCGCCGCCGAACTTCGCACAACTCTTGAGTACCTTGCAAACTTCCTCGCAGCCCCCTTCGTGCCCGATACTGGCGGGTGGGAGGTGGAGGGGGCGAGGGAGGGGTGGAAGGGTGGCGGGTGCCGGTTTCTTTCATGCTCTTATATCCATCGATCCCCTTGGGGTTGACCGAGTTTCCCGTCAAAAAAGATACGGACAACTAGCTCCCGCAGGCTTTTGTTGCGTTGAGGATGCCTCGGCATTGGCAGGGTACAGCGTGCTTGCGGCGGGGGGTCCGGCAGCAAAAATGATGAAACGGCTATTGGTCCGTGCTTGTTTCCCCGAGGAGTTGGTGTTTCAATTTCAACGTGGCGGTAGAACTAACCTTCTAGCTAAAATTCCAAAGCAAGGACAACGAACAACGACTACAAGCAACATCTACCTGCTGCTGCGGATAAGGGCTTGCTCGCTTACATTCGGCTGAACTCGGCCACCTGCGACAGGAGTGCCAAGAGCCAGCAGCCGTTCTCCTGCACATCTCGGCACTGACCGAGTTCTCGCAGCATGGATATCGAAGCCTCGATACCTCCCGCGCGGCCTTTTTGTCCAAGGAAACGGCGGAGAGAGAGAGAGGCCAAGCAGGGCAATGGTGTGAAGGAAAAGTGGGGTCTACCTGAAACTGGCACCCTCGCGTGCAAGCTACGGAGCCGGCTGTGTCCCAGACCTAACACGGCGGCCTTGGTGAACGTTGAGTCGTCGCCCGGCGTGTCTTTGCTTCGGCTTCATCTAGAGCTGCTTCGTCTAGATATACACGTAATAGTCACGCAAGAGGTCTGTTTTGCTTCCCAAGGGCGGGGGTAGGGCTGGCACGGAGACAGTCGGTGGCACTAAACCCCTCCCAGACCAACGGGGCCCCGCGCCACCCTCTCTCGGCTAACACCCCGCCCACCACGTCTGCCTGTCGTCGTCAGAGGCGTCTCCCCTGCCTGTGCCACGCCACACTCTCTCCTGTGTCCATCTCGCACCCTACCTACCTATCTCTAGCAGCGTCTGGCGGTTGTCGGAGGCCAGCCTCGCCAGCGCCTTGAGTCCCGGGCGGCGCACGACCTCCACCTCTCTCGAAGATGTGACGATGGCCAGCACCGCCTGCACGCCTCGGCCTTCACAGGCTTCAGCGAGAGCCTCTCCTTCTGTTCGTCGAAAACCGTTGTTGGTTTCGTTTTTGGTTTTTCGTTCGTTGTGCTGTGATGGAACATATATTTGTTTTCATGGAATTGTCCGCACGAGAAAAAGGGAAGGACGGACATGGAGCATTTTTTTCTAGGGGATACATGTGGGCGGGGCGAAAATATTTCCAATTGCCATCTGCACTATCTGTGTGCAAGTTCTTGGTACGGAAAGAGATGAGGGGTGCTTGAAGCACCGTCTTGTGAGACTTCTTGGATACGGGGAGCGAAGGGCTAGGGTTCTGGGAAGGACAGGGCACCGTTTCTTTGTCGCGGCAAGCCCCCTTCCGGTGCTCAACGAAAGGTGCCACTCGCTCCAATCCACGCGTGTTCTAAACGTCCTTTGCCGCTTTCTTTTACCGCAACGTAGTACAGCTGCTTGGATAGCTTTTGAGCCGAAAGAACACGTCTCTCCGCCACCAAATTGAAGACAATCGAATCGTCGACTACGTGATACCGAAGCAAGGAATTCCCTTCGCCACAGAGCTGGGCAAGACAGCCCTTCTCACAACGAGCATGGCGTCTACGCACGCCCGCACGCTGCTTTCAAGCCCGCTCCAAACCGACCAAACGATCGAGAGATGGCTGTTTCCCCAACAATAGCTTCAACGACCGATGCCGTTCTTACCGCCCCCGCCCCCCTCCACCAAGATACCCGACCGCGACTACCTAGCCACCCCCACGTTAAGAACACACTTTTTACCTTCTGGGCTGAGTTTGACCAGTTTGGACGAGGATGCCCCGCCCCCGTCGCCACTGTTGGCGTGGGGTTTACTGCGGACAGTAGCTTCCGCCACCACATCTGAAAGGTGAGCCTTCGTCCTCTCTTGCATCAGCTTGCGGTATGACGTCTTGCAGGTGTTAGCGGTGGGGCATGATGGGACGACGGCCGGAGGGTTACGGCCGGTTGACGGCGAGGCGTGGGGGGTAGCAAGAAAGAGCGTGGTGATAGTCATGGACTACGGGCACGAAACGTTTGCGTACTTGATGTCGATCGCACGTATCCCTAACCTACACCTTCACTCCGCCGATGCGAGCCTCAGCAGTTCGCTCTTTCTTGACTCTCTCGTGCGCTAGCCACTCCCCCATCTGATGCATGCCCGAAAGAAGGAGAAGCCCATGGTGCGTCCATTCCTTTTCTGGCGCCGACCCCCGCCGCCGCCGGCCGATACGCAAGTGAGGGTCAAGTATCGGTAGGGTGACTCTTGGTTACTTTACTAACCGGCAGGGACAATATCGTCGGAGGTGTGCAACTTGTCTGCTTGAGATTGGTACACCAACGTTTCGCGGTTGCCTCTGACTTGTCTTCACACAGTAGGCAGGAGCGGAGCGCCCCGACGCACACTGTGGCGCCGGCTGCTTGTTAGGTTATTAAGCACTTCGTGTACGTAATCCTCAGGCCGAAACAACAGGCCCTTCGTGAAGTTTAACCAGAAAAATTCATTTATTGCCACTTCCGAACTCGTGGCACGACCTAAATTTTTCCCAAAGGCACAGCAAACCGAGCAGAGACAGCAATGCGACTGATCCACGCCTACATCGAGCCGTCTGACTCGGAGTCTTTTCAATAGTTAAGCTCAAACGGAAGAACGGCGTTGTGAATGCCGGGGGGGGGGGGG